CTTTGCCGTTCGTTGCCTTGCCCTGGTGCCTCTGCTTGTGCTGCTGCAGTCCCCGCTGTGCGCCCCTCCTCGCCCTAGCGCCTGCGCCATCCCGTGCCCTCTCCCCTGACCTCCCCGCTGTCTCGCTGTGGCTGCCCCGCCAGCAGGGCCAAAGTCATCGTATTATTATTATTGCCCAGCTGGCCAACACCAGCAACCTCTCCTGCTCCCCGACAAGTACAGCACACCCATTGCGGTGACTTCTGTATATTCTGTCCTATCACCTCATTGAAACAATGTCTGCTGGTTCAGTTCTTGTCACCGGGTAAGAGTCGTCGCATCTCCCCGCCGCTGCCTCCAGCAATGCACTGACAGGACGTGAAGAGGAACGGGCTACATCGGGTCCTTCACGGCCCTGGCCCTGCTCGAAGCTGGCTACAAGGTTGTCATTGCCGACAACCTGTACAATTCCTCCGCAGAGGTCATCAACCGCATCGAATTGATCTCCGGGAAGAGGCCCGAGTTCGCCCAGATCGATATCACCGACGAAGCTTCGCTCGACAAGGTGTTTGAGACGCACCCGGACATTGACAGCGTCATTCACTTTGCTGCCCTCAAGGTATGTCCATTTCTGCCTATAACCTAATTCTGGGGCTGTGTGTTTGGGTTTTTGGTGCTGAACGGAGATCTGCTAGGCTGTCGGCGAGTCCGGCGAGAGGCCGCTCGACTACTACCATGTCAACGTCTACGGCTCGATCAACCTGCTCCGCGCTATGCAGCGCCACAATGTCACCAACATTGTCTTCTCCAGCTCTGCCACTGTCTATGGTGACGCGACGCGCTTCTCGAACATGATCCCCATCCCCGAGGAGTGCCCCCTGGGCCCCACGAACCCCTACGGAAACACCAAGTTCGTTGTTGAGACGGCCATCACGGACTTCATCAACGCGCAGCGCAACAACCTCACCAAGGCCGGAAAGGCTGATGAGGCCGAGAAGTGGAACGGAGCCCTGCTGCGTTACTTCAACCCTGCGGGCGCCCACCCCAGCGGCATCATGGGTGAAGACCCTCAGGGTGTTCCCTACAACCTGCTGCCCCTTCTGGCTCAGGTCGCGACCGGAAAGAGGGAGAAGCTCCTTGTTTTCGGCGATGGTGAGTTTGGTTTTCCTCTCTGGCGTTACGCAATCTCAGGCTAACCTGAACGTCTAGACTACGCCTCTCGCGATGGCACTGCCATCCGTGACTACATCCACATCCTGGATCTGGCCAACGGCCACCTGCTAGCGCTCAACTACCTGCGTGCGAACAAGCCTGGTGTTCGCGCCTGGAACCTGGGTACTGGCCGTGGCAGCACTGTCTACGAGATGATCCGCGCCTTCTCGGCCGCGGTGGGCCGTGACCTGCCATACGAGGTTGCTCCTCGCCGTCCGGGTGACGTGCTGGACCTGACGTCGAACCCTACGCGGGCGAACAAGGAGCTGGGCTGGAAGGCCGAGCGGACGCTCGAACAGGCGTGTGAGGACCTCTGGCGCTGGACGCGGAACAACCCTCAGGGATACCGACAGCAGCCGCCGGCCGAGCTGCTTGAGGCGTTGAAGAAGAAGAACTAGACAAGAAGTCTAGGCAAAAGTAAAAAAAAGACTCGATCATTGCAATGACAATGAGAGTCCTGTTCCATCTATGAATACGACGATAGTGGTTGAATTTTTTTTCGCCATATTCTCTTTATTATTATTATTTCCATTGCTGTTCTTTTTCTTTTTTATTTTACATCTTGTAGATGTACTGTACAGTACATACAGGAAGATACACTACAAAAAGAGAAAAAAAGAAAGACAGAAAAAGATAGCAATGTTGAGAATCTGCCACTATAGATAGCGCTCAATTGAATTCAAGCCGTCTGTTTACAAGTTCTCCATTACCATTATTTATATTTATTCTTATCATTTTGCCTGTCTTGTCCATCTATCTGTTTATTTGCTCATGCACGCTGAGATCAGGTACTCTGTAGCAGTCATCAGTTACCTAACTACACTGGTATCATCTAGTCTATCCATTCATTCAGTCATTCATTATATTGTATAATATAACATTGGTATGATAATGATAGTGATAAATATAGATATCGAAGATGCTGCCTGTGACAGGTACCAAAAAAAAAAGAAGTAAGAAAAAAAATTTACAACATGCACACGCAATTCATTCATTTAGTCATTTCGCCTTTTGACTCTTTTTCGACCCCGGCGTTTGCGATTTCGCTGCTGTGCTTGAACTTGAACTGGTTGAGTTATTGTTATTGTTACTGTTATTGGTGGTTGTCTGCTTTTGTTTTTGCTGCTGCTGCTGCTGCTTTTGCTGCTCCTGCTCTTTCTCCTTCTTAGCCAAGGCGCGCTTCACAGCGGCCTCTTTCTCCTTGGTCTGGATCTGCTGCTCGCTGAATTCCCACAGCTGCTTGGCCACCTGCTCGTCCCTGACTTCGTTCCGCAGGAAGTCGACTTCTCGGCACTCCTTGATCAGCCGGTCTGCAGTGTTCTCCCCGCGGGCGAATCGCGGGTCCATGGCCGCGTACAGAAAACTCTGCGCGCCTTGCTGCGGTGACTTCAGGATCAGCCACCAGAGCGGCCAGGTCAGTAGGTAGGCTAAGAGGCCCCAGAGAGAGCCGCCGGTCAGCCAGCGTCGCATTCCCGGCGTGCGGCTGAATCCCGGGTCGACGATCATTACATGCGCGTTCACAGGATTCTTGTCTGGCCGGTTATAGGATGCCAGGTGCTTCTGGAAGGCATTGGCAAAGACCATCAGAGCGAGCTTAGTCATGCCGTACATGCTCGACTTCTTCTTCTTCTTTCTTTTTTGTTCTTTGTTGCTGCTGTTGCTCTTGTTGTTGTTGTTGTTGTTGTTGTTGTTGTTGTTGTTGTTGTTGTTGTTGTTGTTGTTGTTGTTGTTGTTGTTGTTGTTGTTGTTGTTGTTGTTGTTGTTGTTGTTGTTGTTGTTGTTGTTC